AGTTTGATTTAAATAAGATTTATTTTTACTTAAATTTAGAATATGTTTATTTTTTTAAAAATCATGTTATTAATGAAAGTTTAGGTTTTCTTCTCTAAAAAAGATCTCAGCATTTTAAATATGACTTGATTCATTGGATATATATGATAAAATGAAATTGATTTCTAGTTTAAAAGCATTGAATCTCCTATATCAGTTAAGAGAGTTCATAAAAAGAACGGATAAGCTGGTCAGTTTCACTTAAAAAAATTGAAATGGTTTCCCTTCTATCGTGTTTTTTCCTCTCGTAACCCAAACTTTTTCTCACTTTATATCTTTTTCTCTCTTCCTTTTTAATTTCACTTCTGTGATTCTCTAAAATGAATACATATGATATGAAATATTTTATAAATATCATTATCTCAAACATACCGTGACCTCTTGCTTCCCTTGCCAGTGCTTCTCAATATGCAACCTGATTTCTTCTTCCATTTTCCCTATATACTGCTTCAATGATTCAGGCTTCAAGAAAGACACAAGAGCATCTCTAACGCGCTTGTGATCTTCTCCTGACAACTCCAGCAGACAACGATCCCCCAGAAGCATCCGAATCGACTTGGTTTGCTGATTAGCAATTATGCTGCTATCACTAGTAAACACAAACTTGTTTGCAGCTTGTCCATAAATGAAGACTGTTGGTTTGCCAAAGAGGCTCAGCTTTGATATGGGTCCATATTTCCTTATTCTTTCTTCGAGCCATTTCTCTGCTGTGTTGGCTTTCATAGCTCGGAGAAGAGTAAGGCTCTGGCCTATTATTGGGAGTCCAAGTGAACCAGGAGGCAACCTTTTTGATGATCTTCTTCTCAGGAGGAAGAAGAAGGAGATGAAGAAGAGGAAAATGGTAAACAAGATTTTCATTTTTAGAATTAAGCCCTTGTTTGGGTGAGAAGATGGGTCAATGGGCAGTGAAAACTTCATATATATATATACACACACACACACACACACACACAGGTGTGTGATCACGTGGACATTCTTTTGTTTGCTTATGAAATGGTATCTTAGTCACGTAGAGAATTGATTCTGGTTGACACTTTAAAATATTAATTTTTATGATTATCTTAACCAAGAAAAGTTGGAATAAAAATTACTGAATATTATATACTAATAACACTTTCATGGTTACGTAATACCACTCTTGGTTTCTATAATTCTACAATAGCTATCTAAAACTTTGCTCATGAAATTCTGGTAGATAGAATATCATTGTGAGCTAAAATGGAAGTCTGAAAAATTTATTGACTTTTTAGATTTAATTGTACTCTGAAACGATTGGTAGTGCTCCAAATCCAAATACCACTGTCTTAACAACTTTGTGTATAATTTACATCATTATATGGATCAATAATCAGATAACTTCAGATGTAAGATTAGGTTATACTAATTCTTTTGTGTATTCTACTTAATCTTTTACAAATTTCATGTCGTAAATTCCATATTTTTATTTATACAAAAAATTTATGGTTCTGTGTGTTTGTATATGGCATTAATCAATGATTAGCTCTTCATATTACAACAGAAGAGACAAGGAACTTAAAGGGACAAAACATAAGCGTATATGTATATAAGGAGACTGTGGGTCTCTTCTTGTTTGTCTTGTCTGTTCCGTTACTATCTAGGCTGGCTAATATCTATGCTAAAAAAAATGGTGGTAAAACGGGATTTCCAAAATAGAGTTTTTTGTCTTTAAACAAAAAGGTCAAAGAAAAAGCAAGAATAGCAGAGAAATTGAGAAGTGGGTTTCTTCCAATATCTTCCTAAAGCGCCAAGATTGGAGGAAACTGTTGGAGGCAAAAGCTTGCTGTTTTTGTGTTTGTAATTTCAAAACAGAGAGAGAATAATACAGAAATTTAAATATAAATGTGTGGATCTGCAGTGAGAAAAAAAGAGAACAAAAAAATGCAGAGGAACTGCAGAGAAAAATGCAGAAGAGAATACAACAGAATAAGGACAGCTT